AGACAGTCCGTGGGGTGGTCTCCAGAAGGTGTCCGCAGCCGGGACTGGCGAGCGCGCGCCGATGGGGGGGGGGGGGGGTCTTGCTTGCTCCACACCGAGCGCCATCGGTCCGGACCGGTGCACTCACCGAGGGGTGGCCTGCACAAGGTCTGAGCCGCGGGCGCTCGGCGCCAAGTGCAGTGTCACGCTCGCACTGGAGCGGGTCACAATGGGAAACCCTCGTTTCCTATGTGTACTCGGTCCCCCAACGGAAGAGGCCTCGCTCCTATTGGAACATTCCAACATCAGATTTGCCTCGTGCGTCCCTTTTTGAGTCGGAAAGCTATTTTCTTTTGGGTCCTGTGGGCACCCTAACGACGAGGCGCCGACCGTGATGGCGGAAGGCGGCGAGGCGAGCAGCAGTGCCCCACCAGCGAAGCGGCCGCGCGGGAAGAAGGGAGGGAGAAAGGCAAAGATGGGGACGAATCAAGTCAGTGACGAGAGAAACAGAGGGAGCGCGTGACAGTGAGCGTGCCGTGACGATCTTGTGGAGCTCAAGTGTGGAGGAGAGAGCTCATGTGTTGATGTGGAGGGGTAGCTAGACGCCGAGCGGAATGCGCGCTCGGCGGGAGCCCCTCAGGTGCCTGCGCGCCGACCACCCCCCGGTGTTTTGACACCATTATTTGGTATATTAACCTCGCGGCCGCCTAGATAGACTGCAAGAGCTAGACACCGCAGGAGGCGAGGCTGCTGCTGCTGCTGCTGCTGCTGCTGCTGCTGCTGCTGCTGCTGCTGCTGCTGCTGCTGCTGCTGCTGCTGCTGCATGCTGCTGCTACCGTCGGAGCAGCTCTACTGTTCACATCGCGCTTGCCGCCGCAACTGCTGCTACGAACGCCGCGCCCAGATACTTTGCCCGCCCGCCCGCCCGCCCGCCCGCCCGCCCGCCCGCCCGCCCGCCCGCCCGCCCGCCCGCCCGCCCGCCCGACCGACCACCCATTCCCATCACCATCTCACATACCTTCATATAGGCGCTCGAGACCTCCTCTCGCTGCCTACTCGCTGCCTCGAGGGAGGAGGGGAAGACGTCGAGCTGAGCTTGCCTCGCTTGTACTGAGGCCCCTCCCCGAAAGGCAAGCATTAGACCCATTAAACCGAGACCCCTCCCCCCCCGCCCCGATCCCCCCACCCCCTTGCTCCCCTCCCCCCCTCGGGAGGGCCGAACTGAGGCGCCCGAGGGGACCCCGCAATTCCCTTCCCCCCTCGGAGGGCCGGACTGAGGCGTCGAGGGCCCCACTCTTTCCTTCGCATAGCGGCCACTCTTCGGATCGCTGGTCGAGCGACCCGGGGGATGCCCCGCGCGCCTGACCCAGGCGCGGAAACGAATCTGCGAGGCGTGGCCGCTCATGCGGCCCGATGGGGAGGAGGGGAAGACGTAGGGCGTGCTTGCGCGCCTTTCCGAGGCCCCTCCAACCCACCCGCGCTAGGTCTCGGGTTTGACGCATGGGGTCACTCCCGCGAAACCCGTGAACTAGCCGGGGCAGTCGGAGAAGGGGCAACTCCGTGCACTGACGGTCGGCCGTCAGAAAACACGCCTCCGTGGCTCGGGTTACACCAATCCTCGCTACCCAACGCGGCCAAAGGATATCCACCTCGAATAAATACAACGTACACGCCAAACGAGGGGTGGGAGAAGGACAGGGTCCCCACCTGCACGAGCAGGATCTTGTAAGGACGATCAGGGACACAGGGGAACGGGAGCGGGGAGCGCATCGCGACACGGAGGGGGGCTGGGCAGGGTTCACCCTCACGACAGGGTCCCAGGGATTCCTCTCTCGTATAGGACAGGTTGCACCCGGCGGCACGGGGGCAAGCGCGGGCCTCCTACTGGTTGCGCTCTCCTAGTTCTCCTGCTCCTGACAAGGGACAGCGACAGGCTCGCAGCACGGTGGACTCCCTATCCACTGGCGATCTCTCTCGACTAGCGACCTTCCTCCGACTTCTCACCGGCAGTCTCTTCTACCACAGGCAGACTGACACGTGGGTGGCAGTGGCGGTGATAGGAGTCTCCCACTCTGTGGGCCTCGCTAGAAGTGCGACCCCTGCGCGTGTCCTCGCCCTTGAAGGGGAAGGGGCTGTGTGTCTGTGCATGTGTACAACATGTGTGTGTGTGTGTGTGTGTGTGTGTGTGTGTGTGTGTGTGTGTGTGTGTGTGTGTGTGTGTGTGTGCTCGCTCGCTCGCTCTCGCGCGCCGCTTGCGCGATCGCGCGCGCGCGCTGCGCGAGCCGCCCTGCCCGCTGCGCTGCTAGGGTTGCGCTGCGGGAAGGGCTCGGCGGCCGTTCCTAGAGCTCCTCGTCGCTCCCCCCGTATAGCGAGGGCTCGTTGGACTCGAGGAGTGGGCCGCCGTCGTAGGGGGAGCGGGCGGCTCCGCGGGCGCCGCCGCCGCGGCCGCGGCCGCCGCGCCCGCGCCGCCCGCGGCTTGTGCCCAGCCTGACCGCGCTCGGCATGCGCTCGTAGATAGTGTCCTTGAAGGCGGAGTGGAGGAGCGCCTCGAAGTTGACGCACGGCGCGTAGCGGCAGCGAGCGGCGGTCTTGCACGGGAGGGCGGTCTGGTTGAAGGCCGGGCAGAAGCCGATCCCGTCGCGCGCCGCCATCGCCTTGGCCTTGCCCGCCGCGCGCGCGACCTCGACCTTGTTGTCGACGATGAGGCTCTCGAAGGTCTTCTTCTTGGCGACGTTCGCCGCTGCGGCGCGCCTCTCCTTGAGCGCCTGCGCGGCGCACTGCGCGTCGTGGATGATGTCGGCGTTGGTCAACCCAAATGCGCGGCAGGAGGGGCAGAGTTTGTTGCCGAGGACCTTGACGCACCCGACGTCGAGGCGGAGGGGTCTGCCGACATCGCCGCTCGCGTAGACGTTGGGCAGGACCGGGAGGTTGCAGACGAGGTTCTCGTTCTTCACCTTGAAGAGGATCGAGCCGTCCTTCTCGTCCGACTTCGTGCCCAGGAAGGAGTGGTATCCCTCCTGGATGGAGACCATGTTGCCGAAGTGCTTCTCCAAGAGGGGGGCGAAGTGCTCGATCTGGGCCGCGGTGTCGATGGCGCCGCGCGTGCGTATGGCGAGGAGGCCGTCTGAGTCCGTGGTCGCCTGGGTCTCGCGCGCCTCCGCCTGCTTGCCCCACACGGTGGCGTCGAGAGCGGCGAAGGTGATGGTGATGTTGTCTGGCGCTGGGAGCTGTAGGACGCCACCGCCGGTGTACTGCTCGAGGAAGGCGCGTGCCTCGCTCTCGCCGCTGAAGGCGACGCAGATGGCGCGCGACGTGCCGATGATGGGCACGCTGATCGCGCTTGCCTGCTGCGCCTCGCCGCCTGGTGTCTTCTTGATCAATTGGCGCACCTCGGTGACGAGCGCCGTCTTGTTCTGGATGTCCGGGATGTGCGAGCCGTCGCGCGCCGCGAGCGCGACGTGCAGCAGGCGCTTCGTGCCGCGGTCGGTGCCGGCGGCCGCCGCAGCGGCCATCTGTGCAGCGTCCACCATAATGGTGTCGCCTTCTTTGGCGTCGTCGTCGTTGACGCGCGCGCTCGCGAGCTCGCCGTCGAGGCGGCGCTTCACGCCGAGTCTCTGGCCATCATCGGCCTCTTGCGCGCCGTCGCGGCCGCGCGCCGCGCCCTCGGCAGCGGCAGCGTTGAGCACCGGCGGCGGCAGGCCGGCCGAAGCGAGCGCCATTCAAGTGAAGCGCCGTTCAAAGGTCCACCTCGAGAACCTCGAGAGAACACGTCGTGTTTTTTTTTCACGGCTTCCCAGGACTTGTGAGCGCCCGCTGCGCGTGCTGTGGCTCGCGGCTAGCTCGCGTCTTCCGCGTGCGGGATGTTAGCGGCGGACAAGCTACTGCTGCAGTCCAACGTCAAGCAGCGCGCCATCCAGCTCCGCGAGAAGGAGCTCAACCTCTTCAATGACAAGCGAGCGCCGCCGCACACAGATACACACTCTCCGCCACCTGCTCGGACCACTCCTTCCGCCGAGCCCCGCTGCCACCGCCGCCTCCGCTGCCTGATCCCGTCGTCGACCGCCGCCGCATCCTCTCTCTCTCTCCCTCTCCCTCCTCGCCCCACGCCCGGCCCGCCGCCGCCGCAGCTTCAACGCGGTGGGTACCCAGTCCGCCGTCCTCGCCGGCTTCGCCATGACCAGCTTTGCCGAGATCGACCTCCCCCACAACGCGTACTTTGCGACAAAGGTGCGGCGCCGCACAATAGCTTCTCCTGCGGGCACAGAGGGCACACGACGCAGATGGTCTGGTGGCCTTGCGATGCGCGACAGAGGGGCGGGCTGTCCCAGCGCCAGATCTCGCGAGGGAGAGGGGCGGGCTGTCCTCCCCCTCCCCCTCCCCCCTCGGTCCCTCCTCCCCAACCATGTGCATGCCTTTTCATCCTGCCCATACCCCCCCCCCCCCCCCCTTCTCCCTTGCACCTCCACCCCTCGCACCCACGCGTGGCCACCCACCATGTGTGTGCACCACCCCCGTATCTCCACCTCTTCGTCTCTCCTCATATCTCCCCATATCTCCCCATGTAGGCTTGCCTCCACCTCTTCGTCACCATCTCCATCTGCGCGAATCTGATGTGAGATGCAGCCGAGAGGCAGCGGAGAGGCAGCGGAGAGGCAGCCGAGAGGCAGCCGAGAGGCAGCCGAGAGGCAGCCGAGAGGCAGCCGAGAGGCAGCCGAGAGGCAGCCGAGAGGCAGCCGAGATGCGAGCTCCCCAGATCTCCCCACACCACCCCCCGTATCTCCCCGCATCTCCCCACATCTGCCCACATCTCCCGACCCCTACTGCAGGTGCACAGCCTCCACCACCTTTGTCTCCGTGTGGGGAAGCGGAAAGGCGCTGCGAGGAGGAGCACGCGTCGCAAATTAACTGAGATCGCCCCCCAACGATTGACGCATATATTATCTCAACTGAAGGCGCTGCGAGGGAAGGACGGGTCGATGGACACGGCGGTCGAGGGAATGAGCCAGGCGCCGCTTCAGAAGGGGTGTCCGTTCCTCGTATGACTGCCGCTGCTGAGGGTTGCTGTTTCTGCGCAGGAGCGTGCCCCTCCATCTTCTCCAAGGACAATGCCGCGTTGCAGCTCATAGTGACAAGTACGCACCGTTGCTGCTCGTAGGAGCGCTCCTTCATTTTCGCCTGCTAATATGAATAAGAATGATGATACCAATACGAACTCATGGTTTTGTAATAGGAGCGCTCCTTCATCTTCACCTGCTTCGGCGTCGGCCTGATCACGACCTTGCTCGCGCTGATGTCTGCGAGCTGGATCCTGATGACCGCCGAGGTCGAGATCTGGGGAGATCTGGAGGAGAGAGGGGGAGATCCTGATGACGAGGTCGAGATCTGGGGAGATCTGGAGGAGAGAGGTAGGCGACAGGCGCCGGGAGAGTGCTAGACTCTTCTCTTCCTTCTGGTTTGCTTGCGTCGCAACGGTCAACTAGCTACTCTTTACGCCTCGCGTGATCGCTGCTACTTGCGACTCAGGTTGCTTGCGTCGCGACGGTCGGAATCTCGTGGTGCATCTATGTAATCGTGCGGCAGGCGAGATGCAGCCGAGAGGCAGCCGAGAGGCAGCCGAGATGACTGGCGAACTCGTGTTGAGAACGAGTGGGGCTAGGCCATCCACGGCAAGCTCCGAGACCCTTCCGAGACCCTTCCGAGACCCTTCCGAGACCCTTCCGAGACCCTTCCGAGACCCTTCCGAGACCCTTCCGAGACCCTTCCGAGACCCTTCCGAGACCTCCCCGAGACCCTTCCGAGACCCTTCCGAGACCCTTCCGAGACCTTCCCGAGACCCTTGGACCGTTCTAGGCGTGCCGCGTCCACGACAAGTTCCGAGACACTACCGAGACACTTCCGAGACACTTCCGAGACATTTGCTATGCCACTTCCAGGCGTGCCGCATCCACGACAAGTTCCGGCTGACGGGGCAAAAGGGCGGCATGCCCTCCACGCCCACTCATGAATCAATGATTAACAACCACTCCTGAACTCGTAGGAAGAAGGACACCGTGTCTTTCGACGACATCATGAACTCAGGCGAGATGCAGCCGAGATGCAGCCGAGATGCGGCCGAGATAACGGCCGTCTATCGACGACATCATGGCGGGCGCGGGGTGGGGTGATGCATCATACGTTCGTGACTGCGGGGTGGGTGTGCGGCGCAGGAGTGCTGCCGGGCGGCGGGGCGGGGATCAGGCACGACGCGGGCGAGGAGGAGGAGACGGACACGCTGATACAGAGGTCGAGAGGCCACGCACACGGCGGCGGCATCTTTCTTTTGCGAGCATATTTCTTTTTTTGTAGGTCGAGAGGCACGTACGACGTCTGACACCGTCAGCAGTGGAGGTAGGAGGAGGGGGAGGGGGAGGGCGGTGGCAGGAGGAGGAGAGGTGGCAGGAGGAAGGGATGGGAGAGGTGGGGAGTGCTCGCGCGAGGCTTCGAAAAAGAAGAGGTCACAAGAGAGCGAAGCGCGAGTGTCTTTCTGTCCCATGTGTGTGTACGTACTATTTCATTTCTCGATCCAAAAAAACCTCGGACATTTTACGAACTCCTTGGCGACGTGTGTAAGCGCCTTGCGCAGAAGCAAAAGGTGATATGCGCCATCGACGGCGATAACAATCACACCTTCTACATCGTACGAGGCAACACGTGCCACGTAGCCTCCATCGACTCGAAGGGTCGCGTCGCCTGCACGCCGACAGTGACTAGCACTCTCGACCCAGACACCACGTACCCCGCGGTGAGATGGGGAGCAGGCTATAAAGGCCCAACGGTCACTTCTTACCCGCTACCCTCCGAGTTCTCCTTCGAAGGGCAAGCCACCCCTCTTGACAGGCTCACTGTCAAACACCTAACTCTATTGTTCACAGCCCACGTCCACAAACCACCCTCCTGCCTCACCAGCTGGCCTAGGCGGCTCCGAGTGCAAGCGCTAGCCACCTGCATTCCGACCGCCACCGTCTCCGACGGCCGCCACTCGGCCACCATCGCCACGCCCGTCTCTGTTCACAGGAACAGCATCCCCACGCTCGCACCCCTCACTCAACACTTCCGAAACACCGGACTCCTCAGCTTCAAGGACTGGCATCTCTATTTCAAGCACATCCTCCACCGAGCGCTCTCGACGCGCCACCGGCGGGGAGAGGCCAGGACCGTCTGCCGCCTCTGCCACCGCGAACGCGAGTCCTGCGCACACCTCGGCCGATGCCGAATAATCGCGCATCTATTCAGCCGGATAAAGCTGATCATTCCCGACACCCCTGCTCCCAGTCGCGACAGGATACTCTTCTGCTACGTGGAGGACCAACGTCTTCCCCTAGTGACGACGACTCTCTGCCTGCTCCTCTGGAAGTTTACGCTGATCGACTTCTACAGGGTCGACATCGACAACGTCACGTTCAAAGCGGACGACGTGTGGACGGCTACTCTCACCCGACTCGTCCATGCGGCCGCCTCGAAATGCGTTCATATCCGCAGCCTCCGGAGAAGGTACCACTCGAGAGGGGAACAGCCGCCGCCGCGCTTCCTCGATCGATTCCAACTACTCGTGGCCCCCCTGTTCTCGTACGGCGAGTACGGGCAGCTCTACTTTAGTGAGGCCTTGACGAGGCATCTCAAATGCAGGGACCTGCACCACCTGCTGGACTACGCGACCAAGAGGGACGACGCCGCCAGCCGTGGCGACGCCGCTCCCTCGGATGACGCCGCGACAGCCGCCGCCGGCCAGCAGCAGCTGCAGCAGCAGCAAGCAACAACGCCCTTCTACGCCAACTGGACGAAACGGCTCCGTTCTTAGTGCTGGCGACGACGACACGCGGGGGACTGGGCGCTAGCCGCAGCTCCCCCGGGCCAACGGGGGCCTATCCCGGACCAGCCAGCAGGGGCATACAATTCCTGTACACCCCCCCCCCCCCACTGTGAATGATCACAGCGGACCCCTATTCACACCTAGACACGGAGGCACCTCTCCACGTCCGCAGCCGGCTCCGCTGCTCTGCAGGCTCCGGATAAGCCCTGCCCACGGCTCAGTCACCCTTACCTCACTCGGGATGCCAACACTAACCCAACCGCCGAGATCGACCCTACATCGAAGGCTAAGCTCAAAAGAAATCTTGATTGCACTTCTTCTCGACGGGCGTTCGTCGGGCCGTGCCTGGTCGGCGGGGCTCGGGTGAGGTGAGCGGGCGGGAGTCGCATCTGAGTGTCGCGGGCAGTGGTGAGTGTGGGGCGGCAAGCGACGGGCGGGTCCGCGACCTTTTGAGCGGCCGTGAGCCGGCCGAGAGGCCAGTTATGGTTGCCTGAGCGCCCTCTCGGCGAGAACAAACGGGCTGAGCATCGGTCAGAGCGTGAGTGAGAGGGAGGTGGTCGTGCGCTCACTTTGTCGGCCGCTCGCGAGGTAATCACTGTGTGTGAGGCGCGAGGGAGGCGAGCGGGCGGGCGCGCCGGTGGTCGGGTACCGCGCGCTGCGGCTGCAGCGAGCCGGCGGCTGGCGCGGCGAAGGCGGGCAGCGTCGCGGGTGGGTGGCGCCACCGGCTCGAGGTGGGGTCCTGAGGTGGCTTCAGCCTGGTCTGCTCGAGCGGCACGCCAGCCGCGCCTGCGAACAGCCACCTGTGGGCGGTCACCGGGGTGGCGGTCAAGCTCGCGACGGGGTGGATCTGGTGCTTCTAGTATCACTGGTGGGCTGGGTGTGCAGCAGTAGCGCTCAAAAAGAGGCAAAAAAAGCGTGTGCTGTTTTGAGTGTCAGCTCTCTCGGCGCACCCCCGTCCTCGGGCCCCTCGAAAAGCTGGCTGGTGGTCGCGCGGGGCGCGTCGGCGCCGCTCCAACTGGTTCGGCACCTCGGCTGGGTCCATCAGCACGAGGCCTGCCCCGTCGGGTAGCCCCGCGAGCGCATGGGCGGCCGGCGCGAGCGGAGGACGACGGGCCTTGATCCGCAGCTTCGCACGAAAATCCCCAAGGCGCCAAGGGGGGGGGGGGTCAAGTATGGTACCACAAGTGCTCTTGGGAAGTATGGTTGACGGTGGGGCGCATCTGGACGATCTGCACGCCCCTTGTGACGCGAGAGTCTACCACCTCGAGTCAAGTATCTTGATGTGGTCGCCAGTCAAGGAGGAACCTCTTCCCAAGAGCACCACTCTTGGAGCGCCGCCACTACCACCCAGAGCGCTGCAAGCAGCGCCGGGCAATGACGGCTTACCCCCCCCCCCCCCCCCTCGGCACACCCCGGCAGCCAATGTGTGACGGCTCGAACCCGCTAAGCCATCCAACCTGCAACCATCCCGCAAGCGGGACGGCCCGCCACTCGAACCCGCAAGCGGGCGTGCGAACCGCGAGCGGCTCGCACTCGTGACACGCAGGCGTCCGACAGCAATCGTGAGCCGTACTGCTACGCATATGCAAGGAGGCCCATATGCATACGCATCACATCGGCGCCACAGAGGGCGCGGCGGTCGCGGTGGCCGGCGCCACAGAGGGCGCGGCGGTCGCGGTGGCCGGCGCCACAGAGGGCGCGGTGGTCGCGGTGGCCGGCGCCACAGATGGCGCGGTGGTCGCGGTGGCCGGCGCCAGAGGGCGCGGTGGTCGCCGACGCCACGCCGTTCACGTTTTGCGAAAAAGAAACCCCACCTAACTTGCCCCCGCGCACGGTTTCTTCTTTCCGAAGTCTGGACGGCGCTCATGCTGTGCCTCTTTTGGTAAAGAATTCTACAAATACAAGCCCCTCTCACAGCAGACTGGCACGAACTAGCACCACAAAGAAAGAAAGAAAAAAGACACCCGACGGGAGGGTCAGGAGGACGGCACGCCGCCACCTACCACAGGGATTTTAAAAATAAATAGAGCACACATCTCCTTGGAGAGACTGGGCGACAACCCGACGGGCAGACCCCGGGCCCCGCTCGGAGGGCGTGCACCACACAGCACATACGGCTTTTTATCTACAAACAAACTCTCTCTCATATCTCTGTGTGTGTACGGCTCTATCGCTGAGACTGGGCCTGTGGGTGGGCCGAGTGGTTCCTGCGTCGTGCGTGTGAGTGTCAAACTCTTAATAGAGATCGCATCTAGCCCTCCACAACCCTCAAAATTTTCTTCGGGGCGCGCTCCGCGCGCGGCGCTCCGCGCCTCACTCCTTGAGCGTCATAGGCGCTGGCCCGCACATGTTCTGCAGCTTGGTCGCCACACCATCACCGCCACACCGGCACGCCGCCACGCGCACGCCATATTCCCCCACGCGCGGCCCACGCAACAAACCTCGCTCCGTCCGCGGCGTGGACGGGCCGAGCCAGCCGCACTTGCACAGCTTGCAAGTTGCGACCAAGCTCCACCCTCACTTGCACAGTTGCAAGTCGCGACCACATCCCTCACTTGCACAGCCCCGCCGGCGCGAGGACCGCCGCGACGCTGCCCATCGCCGTCAGCTGCTGCGCCACCTGCCTGCGCAGCGAGCGGCGAGCCTGCGCCCTCGCCGACCGCACCGCCCCTTCCGCGCGGCACAAGTCGACGTGGCGCCCGAGGAGGCGGCGGAGCCGCAGCCTCGCCCTCCGCCGCCGCTCCGCCTCGGCCGCCGCCTTCGCCGCCTCGGCCGCCGCCCTCCGCCCCTCCCTCTCTGCGCACAGCTCCTCGCGCAGCGCGGCGGTCGCCTCCTCGAGCGAGGCGACCCGGCGCGTCGCCGCCGCAAGCTCCTCCTCGCTGCCTGCGCACCTGTAAAGGTGCAGCCGAGATGCAGCCGAGATACAGCCGAGATAGCTCCTCCTCGCTGCTCGCGCGCCTGCGCTGCGACGCCTGCAGGTCTCTCTCCACCGCCGCGCACCGTCCACGCACAGACGCGAGGTCGTCCGACGCGGCGGCGGCGGTCGCCTGCGTCGGCACCAGAGTCGGAGCCGGTCAGTCGAATACGCGTCTCTCGAGTGCTAGTGGGAGTAGAGTGGGAGCAGAAGGAGCTGTGTCTCAGTAGCGGTGGCCGCCTCCGACACGGCCAGCTCCATCCCGAGCAGGTCGACGAGCGCGTCCTCCTCAGCACGCGCAGCCGCGCTGGCCGCCTCCCACCCCGCCGACGCCGCCTGCGCCGCCGCCTGCGTCGCCGCCACCGACCCGACCGAACCGTCCGGCGCGTCAAACGAGCGGATCGCCTCGCGCAGCAGCGCCTTGGCGTCCGAGCCGACCAGCTGCCCGTCGAGCCGCACCTGCAGCGCCTTGAGCGCCGCCTCGGCCGCCTCGGCGCGCTGGAGCGCCTGCGGCAGCGCGCGGAGCGCCGCCTCGAGCTTCTGCGCCCGCTGCGCCGCCTCGCGCGCTGCGGAGCGCTCGCGCGTGATCTCGGCGGCGTGCAGCTGCGCCGCCTCCCGGAGCGCCATCTCCAGGACGTCGCCGTCGCCTAAGTCGGCCATGTCAATGCGCAGCTCGTGCTTTTGCGGCACAGCTCGCCGGCACACGCCCAGCCACCCCGCGCTGGGCCGGCGTTTTTTTTTATCCGAGCCGACATGGGCCTTTCTCCTTTTTTTCTCTCACCCCCCCCCCCCCACCGCTCCCCGGACTTTCGTAACAATCCCCTCCCCGCCTTGTCCCGAATCCAGCCCTTGCCGCGTGGTACATGTCAGTGTATGGCGTCCGCCGCCCGCAAGCGCGCCCGCGCCGGCGGCGGCGGTGAGGCGGACGAGCCCGTGCCGGTCGCGGACGGCTTCGAGGCGCCCATCTTTGGCGCGCGCGTGTACGGCCAGGTCGCCACGCTGGCGCTCGAGGGCGAGGACAGCCCTCTGGGGTCGGTTGGCGTCGCGAGCGACCACGCGGGCGCCTGGTACGTCTCGACCAAGGACTCGCTGCTGCACGTCTCGGCGGCCGGGCGCGTGCGCCGTGTGGCAGCCTTGCCGGCAGCATTGCTGCCAGCCAACAGCATTGCTGCCAGCCCAGACGGGAGCGCGGCGTTTGTGGCAGACTACGACAACAACGCGATTCGGCGGGTGGAGGTCGCGACTGGTGCTGTGACGACGCTCGCGGGCAGCGGCATAAAGGGCAGCGCCGATGGCGTGGGCGAAGCGGCGCAGTTCTGCGGCCCAAGTGGCATCGCCATCAGCCCCGGCGGCGGCGCGCTGTTTGTGGCGGAGTTTAGCAACCACAAGATCCGGCGGGTTGAGGTGGCGACTGGCGCGGTGACCACGCTCGCGGGCAGCGGCGAGGCTGGCGACGCGGACGGCGTGGGCGACGCGGCGGAGTTCTGCAACCCGACTGGCATCGCCATCAGCCCAGACGGCGGCTTGCTGTTTGTGGCGGACAGCGACAGCAGCAAGATCCGGCGGGTGGAGGTGGCGACAGGTGAGGTGACCACGCTCGCGGGCAGCGGCGAGGAAGGCGACGCGGATGGCGTGGGCGACGCGGCGGAGTTCTGCCACCCCTACGGAGTCGCCATCAGCCCAGACGGCTGCGCGTTGTTTGTGGCGGACCAATGCAACGACAAGATCCGGCGGGTTGAGGTGGCGACTGGCGAGGTGACGACGGTCGCGGGCAGCGGCACCAGGGGCAGCGCCGATGGCGTGGGCGACGCGGCGGAGTTCGAAGGCCCAGCTGGCATCGCCAGCAGCCCCGACGGCAGCACGCTGTTGGTTGCCTCGGACGATGGCCTTCGCCAGGTCTGCGTGGCGGCGCCTCCTCCGCCTCCCTCCTTTGCCCCGATCGTCGTTCCGCCTTCGACCCTTGGAGCTGACTTCGCAAAGACGCGGGGCGACGCTTCCCTCCCGGAGGGGAAAGTCACCTTCCTGGTCGGCGACGACGAGGAGCGCATCGAGCACGTCAGCAAGAACAATCTCTGCGCCCGGTCCCCGGTCTTTCGGACCATGTTTGGCATCGGCATGAAGGAGCGCGACGCCGCCGAGGTCACGGTGTCCCACACCGACCTCGTCAGCTTCACCGCCCTCATCGACTACCTCCTCTCCGACAAGTTCGACCTCGGCGAGGAGGAGGGCAGGGCGCAGCGCGCGCTCGACCTGCGGGAGCTGGCGCAGATGTACCAGGTGCCGCGCCTCGAGCTGCTCTGCGCGCAGGCGCTGCAGGAGAGCGTCGCGCCGGCGACCGCCGTGCCGCTGCTCGAGGCGGCGCACACGATGAGCGACGGGCGCCTCCTCGCGCAGTGCCGCCGCTTCGTGGCCGACCACGCCGCCGAGGTGCGGGCGAGCGGCGGCGTGGAGCAGCTGCGCGACCTGGGCGTGGCTAAGGGGCTGCTCGGCGACGCGCTCGACCAGGTGGCGGAGCTCAAGGGGACGGTGGCGGCGCTGAACGGCACGCAGGGCTGAGGTGCGATTTTGTGGCCCACGCGCGACGCCCAGAGAGCGCCGCGAAGAGCGCCGTAGGTGGCGCCCGTCGGGGTGCGCCGCCGACCGGCGCCGCCGGGCGCCGCGGGGGAGACGACATTGTTTTGTTTACAGTGGCATGTGAGTCTTACTCAGGTCTGACTACGTGCGTACGACTACAGTGTCGAGTGATAGGAGCGCCATCTCCAGGACATCGCCGTCGCCTAAGTCGGCCATATGTCAATGCCCAGCTCGTGCTTTGCGAAAGAGCGGAAAGAAAGAATTTTATAACAAAACTCCCTCGCACAACACTGGGCACGGGACTGGCGCGCACTGGCACTAACACAGGTACACCACGGGAGCCGCCTAAGCGACTCCTGCGAGGGTGGCGAGGCACTTAGCTCCGTGCACCCGCCCACCCCCGCCACAGGCAAGCTCATTCACGACCTGCTCTGCGATGGCCGTGTGAAGAACGACTGAGATGCGCTGCTTCTGCAGCCCCAGCCAGCTCTTGGTGGTCCAAGTCACCTCATCGAGGTACTGGGCCCGCGTCAGCTTGTTCTGTAGCACGTCCGCCGCTCTCCGGAGGATCGGAGAAAACGGACAACCAAGGCGAAAAGAAAGAAAACAGACAACCCAAGGGAGGGATGGGAGGAGGACGGCACGCCGCCACCACACAGGGATTTTAAGGAGAGGGGTGTGATGCGCTAGCCGTCGCCCACCCTAGGGAGTCTGCCTCTTCCTATCTCTTTTCGCAGTCTCTCGCCGCGCTTTCTCGCTGCAACCTTCATGCCACCTCGCGGCCGTCCCACTCTCGTCGTTCTCTCCCTCGTCACTTCCTCCTCTGTCGCGTCATTCTCTTCTGCCTCGTCCTGCGGCGCCCCGCCTGCCGGTCCTTTGTTCTCGCGGCTTCTTTCGCCTTTCGGCGCAACTCCGTCCTCCTTGCTGCGTATCCTTCCTGGTGTTTCGCAGCGAAGTTTCTTTTTATCCCAGTGCTTCGCTTGGGCGACGACCGCGCGCTCCGTCGACTGACCGCGCCGTCGCCCCACCGACGGGCGGCTGCCAATGCTCGCCACTCTCGCCGCGCAGCATGTCCGCCGAGCCGCCGCGCGCCGAGCACTCCACGGCCGCGGCGCAGGCAGCGCGGTGGCAACTGCGCCAGCGACGAGGCAGTCGGTAATGGGAGCTCCTGCACCGCTCTATGGCCGGCGTAGAGGCTTTCACAAATATCTCAACCCGCTGCGGTATATCCACATCTTCAACCCGCTGCTGTTTGCCTTCTCCCACATAATGCCCAAGCTGATCACGCCGTTCTACAATACCTTTGGGATTCCCGGCCTGCTCGCGCTGCCCTGGGTTCGTCTTAGATGCGATTGGACGCCGGGAGAGAGCGAGACACAGTCTTCAGTGAGCTCGCAGCCACCAGCGGAGGCCTCTCCAATGGCAGTGGATGGCAGCGTCTTTCTCCAGCCTCTGCCGCCCGCAACAGGTCACCCTCACCCTGGAGAAGGTCTCGTACGACACCCTCGCCGCCGCCCGAGGGTACGACCTCGAGGCGGAGCACGAGGCGAAGGTGGCCGCGGCGGGCGGGACCCTGCACGGAGGCTTCCCCTCGGGAGGCGCCGCGCTGCCGAACTGCTCCCTCATCCCTGTGCGGGGCGAGCAGGACCGGCTCATCCTCTCCTGGCTCGGCGACCGGCCGAGGGGCGAGGTAAGGTAAGGTAAGGTAAACTTCTCCACACACACGAGGTGGTGGGGCAAGGGGGGGCAACCCTCGCGTCTCCACGTCTGACGACAGGAGCCCCACGGCATTCAAAGTGCAAGGCCCAGTGCGCGTGGGTGAGCGGTGTGTGTGTGTGTGTGTGTGTGTGTGTGTGTGTGTGTGTGTGTGTGTGTGTGTGTGTGTGTGTGTGTGTGTGTGTGTGCCGAGGGGCGAGCCAGTCCCCACTCCGGCGGAGGGACAGGAGCCAGCCCGTGGCACCTGAGAGACTACCGCTGAGACAGGCGTGTCGCATCGCCGCCGGTGTCGCGGTGTGATTCGGTGTGGGTTGCATGTCGCTGGTGGGGGGGGAGGTCTGATGTTGAATGTAAGGAAAGAGAGGAAGCACTTTGAGCACTTGGAGGCAGGTAGGTAGAAAGGTGAAAAGAACAGCCAGGCTCGGACAGTCGGACTGGACACCACCGCGGTATGGGTGGACAGACAGATGATGACGACACGCACGAGCGACACACAGACACAAACAGGCTCACAAGACACACAGCCAGCGGGCTGCCACACACACTTGGAGTCCACTTCGTTTTTTTATTTCGTGCGTGGAGGTCGCGCGTGCCAGCAGGGCAGCGGCAAAAAGCTGCCGCGAGAGAGCCCGCAGGACCGACCCCGCGCCCTTGTGTCCGATGCAGCACTTCCAGAAGCCCGAGAATGCGCTGCGGCGCGCGGACGAGCTCTACGCCGTCGGCCAGAAGGAGCCCGCGCTCGTGGCGCTCCACGACGTGCTCTCGTCGAAGCGGCACCGCACGTGGCAGCCGATGATGGAGGAGGTGATGAAGCGGTTCCTCACCATCTGCGTGGAGATGCGCCGCGGCAAGGCCTCCAAGGACGGCCTCATCCAGTACCGCATCATCTGCCAGCAGATGAATGTCAACTCGCTCGAGGTGCGGAGAGCGGCGCTGCGCGACAGCCTAGGAGGGAGAGGCCGAAGGGCGGGCGGCGCTGCTGGCTTGGGACGCTGCGCGGCCGCGGACGTAGTGGCTCATTCGGGGGGGTGGAATGGGGGGGGGGGGTGCAGCGAGCTGCGGCGCTGGACGCTCCGCTGGCGGAGGAGGGGGGAGGGGGGCGTGGGGAAGGGGAGGGGAGGGGGAAAGGAGTCCTCGCGCGATCGCAGTTCCCCACCCACCCAGCATCGCGCCCTCGCCGGTGAAGTGTATAGCGTGGGGGTTAGGGGGACTCCGCCTGCTGGTATTGCCACCTAGGATGGGATTCTCCGCAGTGGTTCGGGGGTAGCTAGCCCTCTATACATCTGGTCAGGTCTCTGTTGCCTCGGGACCGTTGGTTTACTCCGGATCGGTGGCTGTGTGAGCCTGTGTGGT